GTTGTCTGGGCTAACATGTAAGAGTAGGAATCATAAATATTAGCTTGGATGGAATGAAATAAACAAAAAAAACAAGATGACTGATCTTTTTGTGAAGACCATTTGCGATCAGGAATTGCCCAACAGGCTGAGCAAGGAGGCGTCCAGCATGGTGCCAAGTTACCAACTTGAGGGTGAGGTGGAGGGTCTGGAACTTCCAATTTTCATCGATATAGGTCGCCGATACACTGATGAACGCTTTACGGCGACCCTTGGTGGTCCATACGTCGTAAATAAGACAAAACTTACCCTTATTAGACTAAATGAAAGGAAGCTTGTAAGATCATCAGTATACAGATCAATATTAACCCAAAATATACAAAGAAGTGACATACTTGAAGCTTTCTGATGACAGTATCAGACAGCTCCTTGTAGATAGACTTGGCTGTCTCGGAGGCCCAGGTGATACCTCGGATGCTAGCGGAACGATTTGATAGCTTAAAGGCCGCGCGCAGAGGAGTATCCATGAAACAAGAGAAAGGAAGGGTGTGGCGTAAGATCCAAATAACTAAGACCATGTTGAGAATTTCAACACTGAAGGTTGACTGAGAGAGAAATGAATCAAGTGTGGCTTTGGGGTTGGAGGAAGCCACTCAAACAATATCGTCTTGCTGCTGTGCCCAACTTCGAGGTAAGTCATGCCCTTCCTTGATGGCCAGATGACGTTTTGGGCACGCTGGTCGATCCTTTGCCCCATCTCGATGGGAATACAGATTATAATGGGAACGCTTGCCTCTGGTGAAGAAGGCCCGGCAGTAACGGCACCTGAACCTACGTGGATCGTCCCCACTCTGCCATAATCAGAGGTCAGTAAGAGTCCTTTTTGAAAGACAAAGAGATAGTAAGAAGGTGAAAGGAACTAACCTCTCCTTTCACGTGGATTGGCTCCTCGTAATAATCCAACAATTTGGCAACACGACCAAGACAAGCTCGTCTAGGTCCCGAGGTCTCGATTATTTCAATGTCAGAGTCGACCTGATTGAGATCCATACCTTTAGGCACGTCATAGTCCTACATTGATGATAGTATTAGTTTTTCTAAAGTCAGTAATGAAGATAAGAAGAAATTTGAGGAGAAAATTCGAATGGAATGATGCCTACCTCCATTACGGTCCCTGATTGCTTCTCTGATCGCTTCTTCTTCTGCGGTGCTGGACGAGATGATGACGAATTTGAAACATTCCGAGAGGCAGAACTCTTTCTTTTGCCCTTGCCGAGGCTGACTACCTTTGTGACACGCTTCTTGAAAAGGGATTGAGCTCGACAAGGAGTGGGTGATGCAGGTGAAGGTGGGACCTGGCCTATTTCGACTTCAGATACACATTCTTCATCGGGTTCGTAACCACCTTCTTCAGATTCGTCATCGGGGATTCGAAGAGCTTGGCGAGAATCCGGTGATTGGATTACATAGCCAGGTCGAGGCCGTACAGGGCTACGGACTCGAAGCGATCTGGATGAGGTCGAAGGAGGAACAAGAGAGGGGACAGTTCCAAACATAAGTGTAGATTGAGTAGTGTCTTTTGTATCGGCAGAAGGCATGTTGTGATAGTAGACCAATGAGTTAGCGAGAAGAGCTATTCGTAATGCAATTGTTTAAGTGTTAGATTGAGCAAGAAAGAATATCTAGACAGATGATGACAGATGGGAGGAAAGAAATACAAAGACTTACCATTATGATATCCTTTTATAATCAAATCGGGAGGCTTGAGAAACTCATGAAACAATAGCATTGTTTGATCTGATTCTGGATCAAGTGAACGGATTGCTTGGGAATGGATATCGTGAGGCAAAAGATATGAGAAACGAGGTAGTCAGTGGGAAATTGAATTGTTGGGATGATGAGACAGAGATGTGTTGAGCTTGTGAGATTAGTGGGTGAAGGGATGAATTGCTGGGATTGAGATCCAAGGGTGATTCAGTGATGGGGTCGAGGGTTGTTGAATTGCTGGGATCGAGGGTTGTTGAATTGCTGGGATCGAGGGTTGTTGAATTGCTGGGATCGAGGGTTATGGAATGGATGGGTTGGACGGTTTCTGAGTTTGGTTACTAGTACAGAAGGCACCATGTAACCCTTGGGCCCCACCCCGTGGTGGCGCTTGGTGCGCTATAAGCGCTATAAGTTTTTGGCGCTCGGTTGCGCTATGGTGCGTCTTAGCACTGCGATGTTTCGCTATAGAGGGCGCCTCCCAAAATTGCTAATTATCTTGGGGTCCGACCATAGTTATAGCGCGGGTTGAAACCCGCTATCCCAAAAAAAGGCTAGCGCGAGCGGAGCGTGCGCACTGCTACCGCCCCGCCCTTGCTATCTCGGGCGGAGCGCCGGTACCGTTGTCCCAACCCCCATCACATCCTAAAATGTGCCTCGAGTCACAAACGGGCAGCTCCTACCATCACTTGATGCCTTGATTTTACTTCACATCGCTAGTCTTGCATCCACCACCACCATGACCTCATCCACAGTTTCCTTCGAAATTCAATTGCTTGTTCGATGATGGTGTCCCTCATGAAGTACGATGCCGATGCCAATGACAGCAACAGCAATTTAGACAAGACAACAATATCTGACTTGTAGAAGTCTACTCAAATTCTTAAAAGTCGATTTAGACATGTTTTCCCTTCGAAATGAAACGATCTCTCGACTTCTTCATATTGCAAGAGTTTAAAACTAAAGAGAGAGAAACCAATCTTATATAGCAGACAGACTGTTTTTGGATTTCAATAGAGATAGAACTTTTTAATTTTCGAACTCTTCAAATCACCACAGATCAGATAGACGAGCCGCATAAATCGAATGAAATTTAATAAGTTCAGTAGGAGTCACTCAATTTCTGGAACTGGCTTCAATTGGTTCATGTGATCTATACTTTTCAATAAAAGGTGATCAAAGATAATCAATCAAAGTAAAAAAGATTGAAACAAGTCACTCGATTTCTAGAACTAACTTCAATTGTTAGTTAATCGATTAAAGTACAAAAAATGAAACTATCCAATGAGCCAATAATGGAACTGTGGATGTGAGACTGTTTTGTGTGAGGTTTCTGGACAGTTTGGACATGTTGTGTTGGCAAGGAAGGGGCACGTTAGACTCAGTTATTTTTTTTCTTTTGATGGGTGATCAGATCTAGCCAAATTCAACCCATGTGAAAAAACCCGTCAAAAAAACCCAAAAAGAAGTTGGGTTTTCATGGGTTTTTTTCATGGGTTTTCATGTTGGGTTGTAGGTTTGTACACCGCTAATAACATTCAATATCCGCTATAAATGTGGTTTTTAAAAAAAAAAAACCCCTAGAGGAAAAAAAAGAAAAAAGTTCATCATCAGAAGTCCAAAACGTCAACGAAATCCCTTGCTCCGACTATATGGCCGTTTCTCTAAGGTAAAATAGTCCTTTTCTTTTTTAACTTGTTTAGATAGTGTTGTATGCAATTAATGCCAATAAGCACTTAAAAAAAAAAAAAAAAAAAAAGTTTCCAGAACCAACATTGAACCAAAAAGAAAAGAAAAGCAAGTAAACGATAAAAGAAACAAACTCAGAAACATACACTGCTGATTCGAAATAACGGCTTAACTCGAGGAAGAACTTGAAGGATATACGAGATGGTAATGGGAAACAAGTAAATTCGAATCAAACAAGCAATGGAAAAAGAGATACAAGAGTCAAGATACAATTTAATTTATCTCGACTTGATACAAAGCTTTTTATCAATTCAAACTTCATTAAATCAAGAACTTCATTCGAATCTAATCGATTTCTTAAGTTTTTATAAACTCAAGAACTCATCCAACATCCTCAAGAATCTGATTCATGCTTTATTGAATTCGGATGCATTTTTAATTGATCAGATCGACAGTCAAGACATCGGTTTATCAAATCAAATTCAACATTCTCTTTACAAACTTGAATTTATTCATCAAGTGTTTTATGAAACTTATTTAAACCGTTCAAAGACTTCAGAATGTTGCCATCAATCTCATTTGAACCAATTCATAGACCAATCTACATTACATAATCATCCACTTCATCATCTCAATCAATCATTAATAGATTTAGTCATTCATACTGGAATTTATAATGCTATCATCACTTCAAAGACCAAGCCTGGTTTCATTTTGATCCGATTCCTTGATCGACTTGAAACTTTGTTGAATACATTTGACAAATTTAATCAAATCGAAGAATGTTCAATCATTTGGGTGATTTCTAAAGTGTTTCCTTTGATTTCAATCAAAGATCTGAATCAAATCAACCCAACCAATCAGACCGTAAGTTTTCTAAACCTCTTGATTTGGCCTTTTTTATTTGACTTAATCCTGATTTCCCAATTTGAATGAGTTTGTAGAAATTGATCAAAATCTTGTCAAGTAAGATTAAAGAAATCATAATCACAAAAGATTCTAATGAACATCAACATCCATTATACAAAACTTTAGGACCGATTTCGATTTCGTTTGGAAGTTTATTAAGATCGATTGGTCTTCAAAACAATCTGAATCCGATCCTAAGCTCATTAAATTCATTAAACGATCAACTATCAAACTTAAACTTAAATGAAGTCTTGAGTTCTTCAAAATCGATGATGTTTTCAGTTTTAGGAATTTTAATTGGACCTGTTTATTTAAAATCCGATCATGAATTCTTGATGGTTTGTTTAAAACTTTGGTCCAGAATCTTTCATTTGATTCAAAATTTTGGTAAAAGTCAATTTGATGGATTGGTTTGGGATGGAATCATTGATGGGATTAAAGCTTTGAATGATGATGAATTTCAGAAATTGATTAGATGGCTTGATCCTTGGAAGAGTACCGAAAACGGTTCGTTTTTTTCTCATTCCTGTCTTTTTTTGGTGATGAAGAATCTAATTACAAATCTTATGTTTTTATAAAGGAAATCATATTGGCTTGTTAGTTTATTTGTCAGTATTAGAAAATTGTATGGAAAGGGTAGATGAATCATATTTGGAAGAAAACGTAGTGGACCAACTTTGGAAAGAAGTTGAAAGTAGAGGTGATGGCGATATAAATAATGGCAAGGATGATTTGAAATTTCAATCAGCTTGGAAAGTTTTGATATCTATAGTCAAGCATAGGAAACTAAGAGAAGATGATGACCAAATTATCAAATTTGTGGATCGGATGATGGATTTAGTACTAAGTAATCAGACCAATCGAACCGTATGTCACTTTTCTTGATTTTCTTTTCTTTTCTTTGGGTTTTGTGTAACTAACTGAGCCTGTTTTTCATTTGTTTTAGCACTCTGAAAATGATCAAACAAATGAAATACTAAAAAAAGAAACACTTAAAGTAATGATTCAAACTATAAATGAAGAAATCAATTGGAATCATATCATCAAACGATTTCAAACCGAAAACCAATACGAAAACTTGATTGAAGTTTTAAAGTTTATAGAAAATCAAGATGAATTTATAAAAGTTTGTCAAATTTTAAATCAATTAGTTTTCGAAATTCAAGATTTAGAGGTGAGACAAAGAGTCATGATGGATTGGTTTGAAGTCGTTAGTCAAGTTGGATGGGTTGGACCTGTTAAATGGTGGATCAATCAATTTGGTGGAAGTAATGGAAAAGGTTTGGCTAAGTTGTAGATCAACAAAAAAAAGTTGGCAGGGGAGGCAGGGATGACTAAAAAAGAAAAGTCAATGTTTATTTATTGTGTATTGTATAATTGTATGATTTAAAGATAATCAATTTTGAGATTGAACATATATTGTAAGGCCTTGATGTTTTAATTGGATGAACCAAGACCTTTCTGATTGTCAAAAACTTCGAACGCAGACAAAACTTTTGCAAGTTCTTGGCTCATGTAAGTCCTCTCCTTTCTGAGGAGGCTTGAGGTGTAAATGTGTCTCTGATCCTATACCTGAGACATTGATGAGCATTTGATTCTGCTTAGTGAGAAACAGAGTATTGCAACTTCATATCTGAGCAAGTTTGACTGATTTGCCTACTTTGGTCATGTGTTGGAAAAGCTTAAATCAAAACCTTATTCCTATAAGTTCATCTAATTATATTCCTCACATCTCACCATTTTGAACTGAACAAACGATTACAATAATTGTAAATCTTTGGAGATTGAGTAAACTTATAAATTTAGCTACTTGAGCAATTTTTATAACAAAGGAAAGTCCGGTATTCCGTAGAAAATAAACAATTATAGGAGTTACAGAATCCAGCGTCTGTGAAATCATCTGAGAATAAATAAATCAAGATATCAGAATGGTTTAAATCCCGATTCCGCATCCACCTGGTGGACCATTGACTAGCTCAGATGCAGGTCTGATATTAACGTCCTTGATGTAGCTCACTCCCTAGAAGAAATTCACTCTAGTCAATACTGGTTCTGATCAAAAAGAAACAGTAATCAAATCATATATACCTCAAAATCTGTCAAGACACTCAATGTCTTTCCAAAGACGACTTGACTAGGTTGACCTTTCGAGTTGTCTTCCGCATTTTGAACGCAAGGCCTACCAAGGTACGCCTGACATTTGGCCGCCTCATCAGCAGTGAAAGGGACATATCCATGGCCTCCTATTTCAGTTTGGGCTTGCTCTGGGTAGTCTATAGAAAGATCTCGAAATAGGTTTCCTTCTGCTAGCATATGACCACCTGTAACGATTTCTAAAGATTGACCTCTGATATAATCAAGCAAGAAGATATTCAGTGAGAATAAATTACAAGGACTTGAAAGTGAATGGTCTTACCTGCCCTGGAAATGTACATTGTTGTAGCTAAGGGGTGAATCAGGTTGATTTTGTAGCTTCAATTATCTGACGCCACGGTTCATAACACAATTACAATCGAAAAGATCGATACTCACTAATGCAAATCGACCCGAGGCCCTGTAGTTCCACCAAGCTTTGGACTCCGTCCAGACGTTTGGTCAAAGCAACTATATAGGATTTCAGTACATTGAAAAAAGGGAAGATGGATTTGTTAAAGAATACTCAACTTATTGGCCATCGTGATGGTGTCCCCATGACCGGATAATAGTACAGTCCAGTAATGTTTACTGTATATTTTTAGTTCAAGAATTGAAAACTCATCAGACATCCATTAAAACAAGAATCTACACTTCATGTTCAACATTTCCCTTATGAATGAAAAATGAATGTGTGAAGAATTTTTTAAGAAAGAATGATCTCTTACGCATAACAATTTGATGACCATTCTGTTTTGCCTTGGAAGTGATTGTTGGACAAAGTGATTCCCACATTGTTCTCGAGGTCTGCGACGATCATTTGTCTTCCGATGTAGCTGAATGTACAATGATCAACCCATATCTAAAACATATTATGCGCGTCAGATCATGGCAACTTTCGCAATTGATTCAAATCTTCATCAATAATCACATTCGAAGCTCCGTTCATTACCAAGGCATCACCAGCCCATACCTATTTCGGATGTATCAGTATCTTGATGAACAGAAGCAATCGGATCAATTTATGAACCCAATGCTTACAAGGTGCGGATTGAGGTAGGTGATGTGGATGTTCTGTTAGGATGTTAGAATGAAAGAATAAAGGTCTCGTCAGTCATTTATGTAATCTTAGAATTTTAAAGATAACTTGTGAAGAACTGAATCTGTACCTGGATGATGATATTGTTTTGTCTGAAGACGAGGAATCTGATGGTAGCGAAGATTAGGATTTTTTTGTTCAAGTTGGTAGTACATTTGTTGAATAGAATACCACCTACCCCTTTCCCTTGATGATTCCTTTATTTCCAACACCTCGGAGAGTTTTATGACTTCCTATCGATATCTGTGTGGTGGCTGCTTTACGGTAGTGAACAGCTAGCGAGCGTCCCTATATATGACAGTACTTTCAACATCGCATCCTCACTATGCAACGCAGTTAGACATAGACTTACAGCCTCGCAATGTTGTGCGCACCAACCAACTAGGGACATGCCACAAGATGATATAGGGTCAGTCATGGCGTTCTACATTGCTGAAGACGTGTGAGAAGAGACTTACCAACATTCCTAGCGTGCTGAACTTGATTACCAGAAGAACAAGTTGGCCAAGGCGCACTATGGGTTTGAAAAAGAAGTGATAAGTGAATGACCAAATGACAGGTTGAATGTTTCACGTAGGCTTTTGATATAAGCCTGATCACGCTTGAGAGCAAAGAGACTTACCATCCTGTTTCAGTAACATTTCCCTCTAAATCACTAAAGTCGAAAGTTCGATCAATAAGAATCACTCTTGGTACAGAGTCCGCCAGCCATGACACGAGCTGCTCTAAGGAATTTGGAGTTTGTGCCGTAACATTACCACCACCGGTAGTTTGGGCGCCAAAACCGAATGGTTGACCCTGCCCTGAGCATGCGACAAAGTTAATCAAGAAAGCTACGAGAGAAATTGTACAGCTAATCGACCACATCTTTGTCCTAGGTTGGTATGATTTGAATCCAAAAACTTGCTGTGATAAATGTCCGAATAAAAATAATGAAGAAAATGAGGTTGTGTTCTTAAAAAGGATTGACTGTTAGAATAGCAAAGATACGAGAATAAAAAACTAAAGACGCTCAATGAAAGAGATGAAAAAGATCGTAAAGTAGACCGGAGTGAAGAATTGGTGAGATGAGCGATGCTAGAGAGAGAAAGCTACGTCGAGACTGGATGAAGTAATGATGAAGGAGGATGAACCTTTTAGTGTGTTGTGCATTAGACACGGCGAACTTTATATTCTGAGTATCATCGGGCTTCAAATTTGATCACACATACACTTCAAACTACTGCAGAATAAACATGTGGCGGCTTTCTTTCACTGCATTGGCCACCATCTGCCACTTGTAGAACTTGTATATAATTCGGGTGCGGACGCCGGAAATTGATCAAGCGCATCGGCTTGAGAATGGCCCGTGGCTTGATTAAAAAATGTAAATGACGCACCGTAGGCCGAGGGTCCCCTGGTGGAAGTTTTGAATTGACAAAGATCACTTTACATGGCTAGATTTGAGGGTTTTTCGTTATGTGTCTTAATCTACTGACTTTCAATCCTTCAGACCTCAATCGACAATCATTTACGGCTTCTTCCACCTTCTTTGTCTTCTGCGGTGTGATACGTATGTAGTAATGCTTACAAAAGACAACTTGTAAGGAAATGACTTGCCTAACTCGTAAAAAAACTCGCGTGGTGTGCGGCCACAATAAGATCAAAAAGGATGCCTAGATCTATCACCGGGGACAAGTATGTGTCCATGCTTGAGTGTGCACCGAGTTACTCAGGTTTGAATGACGGAATGTAGTTTGTGATATACATAATTTCATGATTTGATGTTGAGAGAAAATCAAACAAAGGCGACTTTGTAGGATTAGTTTTTGACAAAGGATATGTACCTCGGAGATGTGCAACTGAAGCCTTTAGAAACCTTAATCTGAGTATGCTGTCATTGGAATTTCACCACTGATCGAGACTGTAAAAATATGGTATTGAATGCATTTGTAGGCGAGTTTCACCAGGATGCTTTCTCTTTGAATGACTACGGGCATTAAGATCAACAAAAGGAAACAACTCGAAGCCTTATCTCGCTTGAAAAAACGTGCTGAGAAGATTCCAAATGCAAAACTGAATGTTAAAGGTACATATGTCAGAACATGGTCGGACCTGAGGAAGTTTGGGAACGTTCCCTAGATACTCAAGGAACATAGTTCCCAGGCCCGTTGCGGCAAATGAAATTGATACATACTACATACACACCGCATAAGCTTAACTAAGCCCCTCACGAGCGCGTTCGCCGCGCCCTCGAAGAGGGGCTTACATCGGACTCGCAATTTCTGGCGTGTGAGCTCCAAGAATTAAGTCCCCTTATGTTGTTTTTCTTACTTCTCCGCTTCACCTCACCGTAGAAAATGCAAAGCTTCTGGTGTATCTTTCTTTAGGATATGGTACATATTTTGGTATCAAACACATTGCCGTAAACTGAAAAGAAGGGCTCTGAATTTGTGATGTAACATTAGGGATTTGGTGCTTTGAAATTTCATACGTGGTGTTTTAGGTGGTCTTAGGCCATTTACAAGAGGACCTAAGGGCCATTTTTGGTGCTTTTAACACATTGCTCAAGCTGTGCAGGTCTGTCTTTTGCTCATGAAACTCATATGAGGTTGTGTACCATTTCATGAAGAAGGACATACTCGAAGTATTGCATTTTCTACGGTGAGGTGAAGCGGAGACGTGAAGAAAACAACATAAGAAGACATAATTCTTGGAGCTCACACGCCAGAAATCGCGAGTCCGATGTAAGCCCCTCTTCGAGGGCGCGGCGAACGCGCTCGTGAGGGGCTTAGTTAAGCTTACACACCGCATATGTCTCTATACGTCTCCCATGCTCCCGCATACATAGCCTCCGTCGACGCCGACGACGTGTTTTGCTTCGTCCGAGTCGCCGGTCATTTTGCAACGATCAATCAATGGTCCATCCAAATTGACAAGTACAACACGCCATTTCGACTATCAACATCATTCAAGCAGCATCGTATTCAAAATGACGCAGGATGAGTAAATTCTAATCTGATACTCTCTATCATCTTTCATGCTTATCTACAAAGGCCACAAATTTCAATAAATAGCTGATCGATTGTTCTCTTATTCTTCCCGATAACTTTTTAGCCCTTCACTCAAGCCTCGCCCACCTTCTCGAGTACGTAACACGACCACGACCACGACCACAACCAGCAACCCACGAACATATCGTCAGTTTCAATCCAAACCCGATTTGGCACGAACCATTTCTTATCATAGCTACATGTCAACACGTTGGATGTGTTGTTTTGCAGCTCCTAGCTCTTCCATTTTATAGATAGAGATTGATGATGAGTGTTTTCTTTTTGTTTGCAAGAGGGGTTGTTTTACAATTGGGAAGGTGGATTGAAGATTATCATGAGGTTTAAATTGAGATAGTCTTTGAAGAACTTGCTGTGTATATGTATGCCATTGAATGTGTTACTGGAAGAGGTCATTAGGAAGAAGCGAACGATGGCTGGTGCGCTTGGGAGACCTTGATGATGACTTGACCTTTCAGGGACCAGAAGTCCAGGAGGAGATGTCGGTGTCAACCTGTGTCGACCGAGAGCGGCGAGGTTCACACGCATCATTTGTCATGTTGTGTGACACGTCCTTAGGAATGTTCCTAAGGAGTGTTAAGGAACCTTTTTTTTGGGAACGTTCCCAATCTTCCGCGAGTCCGACCATGCCCTCACATATGTATGAGAGCCGGCCATAAAATTAAAAAAATATCCTTTTATCTTGTTCAGAAGTTCAACAAGTTGGAAATTCAAGAAGCAAAGTCAATGACCATAGTTTATCTTCCGCACCAAACACTTCCTTAAAGTCTTCTCCCTACCAGCCAGAGATTTGTTACTTCTCGATCAAGGTACTTTCTCCTTCACAGGCTTGGTTGACTTGTCCACGCAAACCGTTGCCTCACCATCAACCTGTCACGAAAGTTTATTGGAATGAGAAGATTTTCTTATTGAATCGCAGATAGTGATGAATTGGTAAAGACAAAACAACCCACAACACGACTCTGACAGCATCCGGCGAACTTCTTTTGTTTCCCGTCACAAGTAAAGGTTAAATCTTTTCCCTTTATTTTATCAGCCTCAATAGCTAAGATTGATCACCATATTGACAAATGAAAGTAAATGAGGTTGACCAAAGAAGGTAGAGAACTTGACATAGACATATGCACCTACCTTTTGACATGGACCTACTCCCGCTGGTTATCCCCAAGTTCGATTCTTTACCTCGGACATTGGCACAAACTCCCACATTGAGATCGGTGCCTGCCGTACATTGAAATTCATTGTATGTTTTAGTTTTATGTGCCAGGCAGGAGCAGACTAAGAGGAGGAGAATCGAAACGCTGAATATGGAGGAGGTGTAGTTCATCGTGCTGTAGGATTCCTTTTTCAAGACAGAGGGGGACTGATGTGATCGCCTTGAATTTGTGGTCAATTCCATAACAGTTCCTGGTATATAGGCATCGAGCAACCCCCTGAGTCCGTTTGTCAGGCCGCCAAGACTTTACCATTTATCCTTGAATGAGGTTTGTGACGGATTGTGATGAGGAAGCGCCGGGAAGCTGGTATAACTAGGATCACGCAGTCCGATTTGAAGCCATTTTCATAAACTCAACAATTCATCGCCGCCGCCACACGGAACTGCCATGAAGAACTTCATTGGGTTTACCATTTTTGTAATTTTCATGGATCCCTTATAAATTGATATGAAACATTAATTCAACAAATCCAATCTCGGCAGTGGCGAGGCTAGCTGAACACAGGCTTCACCCCCGCGCGTTCCCCTGAGCCTGCTGAGGGTGGGCTTGTGACTTCAAGTTCGCCCCACCTTCCATCAAAACAACCCATCATATGTAGAGCTCTATCTAATAAAGTTCCTATCCCTGAGCTTTCTGAATCTTTTGCTCTTGTCAGATTTCTTCATCTTCATAGCTTCTCAGGAGGCTCAATGTCTAAAAAAATCATTGTGCCAATTTCACATGTGATTCCGCTGCGGGTGCAGATTCACAATACCTCAGTACTTTGTAACATTTTGAATAGTCTCTCTGATAAACCATCCACATTTGTATGATTGATCTCCACAAAAATTACACTTTTTTAGTGAAGCCTGAAGACAAAGCATTGCTTTAAATTATTTCAAGTTTGAGGGATTATGTGTACAAGATATCTTAGAAAAATGTGGCAAGCTCAGATTTTTGATGTAGATGATTTCACACCCTCTCTTTTATGGATATGATATTGAAGATTAATCAAGCCTTTGAAAAATGTCCACAGCATTGGAATATCTGAGCTTCCAGAGCTGTGCTTTAAACATTGTCAATAAGGAATGTTATTGAACAAGGAACCAATGTAAAACAAGTGATAATGTTGTGTTACAGGTTGATTACATATAGTTTACATATGTACTTCAGTGCTTTTGCAATAGTAGTCAAAGAAAGAAGTAGCAACAATAACACAGAACTGTGGCTACCAACTGTAAAAGGGCTTGTAAAGGAGATTTATAAGGGCTTCTGAAGGTTGATATGGACAGATTTGGTAATTGTAAAGCTATTGTAACTCAAATTCAATTGTTTATTGTAAAGGATGAGGGACAAAAAACAAGACAAAGATCAATTGTTTATATACCTGTCAGAACAAAAATCAAGTGCACAGCCAGTATTAAACAACTACATAAAGGAAGCTACTGTGAACAGCACCTGTGAATAACTACCCAGTGATACATAGATAATCACATGTGACCATTACAATAAAATTTTGCATGTGTGATTGACTATTTTAGGATGTGTAGCTTTAGTATCTTATAACCCTGATTTAACTTTGTAATTCATTCTATTGCCACCTATCTTTTTGGTGTGTGAACTCCAGACTTCTGTTCTTGGAAGTCATCAGATGCCAAGGCAATCAATTTTGGATGAACAGCTACTGAGTTGGGACTGGATTCCCAATCCAACTTAGTTGCTTGTAGGATTACATGTAATTATTAGAAAGATTATCATAGAAACATATCCATTTCAGTTTGTAATGTGAGACTCAGGACTCTTAGGACTTAGAAGTTATTTGTTGAGATTAAATCTTTGACTTTTGATTTATGCTCAAAGTGAATAAGCATAAGTCTCTTTATGAGACTGGTCTACCATAGTAGATGTTTGCTCATCTTACAAATGCAAATGATTTTATATATACTATCAGTGATGTGGGGGTGGCCCCTGAGGAAAGAATGGTCTAAGACCACTGTGAACATCATTCAACTTCCCCAAGTGGGAAGGGGAAACTGATTAGGAGTATAGTTTGGCATAAAAGGGTCTATCACTGCACACCTGAGCCATGACACCCGCACTACATGTGTGCAGTAGGCTGAGTGAATAGGTGGCTACCATGTACATACAGGTTTGCTTAGTTATGTCCTCATCTGGATGGATGAATCATATGTAATACATACTGTAACTTGTTTTCAGCTTGCCAAAATCATTCCAAAGATTGACTACATACACTGAATCATAGTTTTGTTTTAAGGGTGTCACCTAAACTTCATGTAACACCATTTCTGCTACTGAAAAATGGCTACAAGAATGCTGCCTGAGTAGCCATGATGATATATGTAGTGGATTAAGGGTATTCAAGATTTGAGAAGTGGGCTCCAGAAGTGTCAAGAAGTGACATCCAGGGGAGAGATGCGGTAAGGACCCCGGAGAGCTCTTATCGAGGTGCATGATGTAAATTTTTTTCCTACAGTACACACACTTCACCACAGTTTACATTCATAAAAACTTCAACAGATCCCTTGCTTCTCCCTCAATAATGCCTAGCCAGAAGCAAAGCACTTTGTTGACTGTGAATTTCATACCTACACAATTGTGAAGAGTTTTTAATGTGGTGTAGATGCTGTGAAATACACAGCAATTCACAGCAAGCATAAGAAAATAAAATATTTTACATCATGCACCTCTACAGGAGCTCTCCGGGGTCCTATGCGGTATCAGTTTTTCTCTGAGACTACCTGAGAGAAGCAATGAGACTTACAGGTATAGTTTGATCCCGTTTTGTGTGGCGTGTTTTTTTTGCATGGCGCTTCCTCCTCTTTATGAGCCTTCCACTAACTACAGTTTAACATCTAGACATCCATTGGTCAATTTCATTGGTCAAAATCAATACATACAAAAGACAATTGATTCAATAAAATGCAAAATGAGAAGTCTTGAAAACCAGAAGTCATAAGCATTTTAGGTTGGTTGGAACAAAAAGACAAGTCGAAAAGAGGTGATATTGAGTCCTTTTTGTGAAGATTATACATACAAAGAGACATTTTAAAAAGATGATGACTGAGTTGTTTTTGACAAAATCAAGACAACACAATAGATAAAAACTTCTTACAAATTTTTTGGGTTAGCATTGCAACAACCTCTTGAAGGAAGCTTTGAGTGTAGAGACTTCAAGGTGTAACAGATAATCGGCCTCTGGCCCATTCTCTTCTATTTCAGATGAAACTGAGCCACTTGCTTTCTTTGAATGTTGTCTACAGAATAGGCAACAGTGTCCTTGTATCATCCATGTCATGATATCAATATTTCATTCAAAGTATCTTGCTCCAATGACAATACATTGTTTTTCTTGTATCAGTTTTGATTCCTACTTTAATTCAAAGTAGCTTGTTCCAATAACATTTTGTTGCTTTGTAAGTTGTTTCATTATCAATACTTTGATATGTAAGTGGTTGTAGCAATAAAACCCCCTTGACAATATTTCAGAGGGATTGGAGTGAGTTGGAATGTATAGATATAAGGTGCACATGGATGACTTGACAAAGATTCATGATTCTTGATAATGAGTTTGTCAAAGTGTTAACAGCTTCTATGGAGTCTTAATGATGAATTTGTTCAAGTCATCATACATATCTACCAGTTGCCACCAGTCTGTACAGACAGTGTACAAAAAGCCACCATCCGCTGTACTTTTTTGTTTGTCTCAGGATAGTCTCAGAGCAAGTTAGTCTCAGAAAAAGACTGATACGGTTACACTCCCACATCCAGAAGTTTTGAAGTTTCTTGGACATGCCTGAGAAACTTCTGGAGCTTCTGGAGCTTTTGAAGAACTTCTGAACTCCATAACCCTCATGTGTGTGTTGAATCAATTGACTTCTTCAAAACACTATGTACATAACATGTTCTTATAATGCCAAATGATAGGATCCATCTTTAATTACTTCCTATCTGAACCACAAAGCTCTGGATATGATTTGAAATCAATCTTGATACAATCTGAAATCAATGTCAATACGCTTTGAAGTTGACTTCTCTTTGACCAATCAGACAAAACCAAAATGAGCAACTATCACTTTTGATAAACTCTATTTCTTTGTATCATTATCTTTTGAAGTCTACTTCTCAAAGATATAAAACCAAATGCATAGATTTTTGCAGGGAAAAAAAGATTGAAAGAAAATCGACAAAAAAACCAAAAAAAAAATGTTTGTTATGTTGTAGTTATGATCAAATTCTTTTGATTTTGATTAGAAAGGAAAAGAAAGGGGTCTTGAATGTGATTGCAAAAAGGGAGGTTTTCTAAAAATTTTGCGCCCAAATGAGCATCTCCACTTGATGGGGCTCTCAATGTTACAAAGAAAGCTCCAGAAGTGTCACTCAAGAAACTTCTGGAGCCAATTCTGGCTGCCACTTCTTGACACTTCTGGAGGCCACTTCTCAAATCTTCAATACCCTTATTGTTGGGACAATTTTATAAATGGCAAAAACATTACATGATGTATCACATGTGATTTATTTAGTCAGATGAGCAGACAGCTGAGTAGATATGTACACGTCCCCACGCCTAGGATTTGTAATCATCGGGTTTGCAACAGGCCCCGGCCCCGCCGCTGCACTACTTGAATGATTGCGTAAACCACTTGGAGGGGACTGTACATGATAGGCAACTATTAGCTAAGCCCACTGCACACAGGGAGTGTGCGTGTGTGTGTTAGGGCTCAGGTGTGCAGTGATGGATCCCCTCATTAGAAACTACACTTTTATTCATTTTCCCCTTTGCACTTGGGGAAACTAAATAATGTTTACAGTGTACACATTTTCTTTGTTCTTGATTTTGTACATATCCATTATATATATCTCAAACCTCAACTTCATTTTCTTTTCAAAAAAACCAATCTTGACATCCTATAAATTAAAATACAAAAGAAAAACAATTCAATCCAATTCTTATTCAAAAAAACAAAACAATCAAATCAACTATTCAAAAAAATTGTTCTTCATTAAAAATCTTATTCAAAAACTTCAATTTTAATCCAATATAAACCCAAACCAATTCCCCCTCAAAAAATCCCAAATATATTATGTAAAAAAATAACCCCAACATGCACACAACTTTTCAAGTAATTAAACAAATCATATCTTTTTCCAAACCTTAATCATTCCATCATCAGCACAACTAACCAACCCATCCTTCCAAAAATCAATTCCACAAATCTCTTTCAAATGAGCATGATCATCTAAAACCTGAACTCCATCTTCATCTTGATCATCTTCTTGATGTCGATTTAAATTCCAAATTAAAACTTTACCATTAGAAGAACCACAAGCTAAAGATTGATCGTCAGAAGAGATCGTTAATTTTAAATATAATGATCTTCCAATTAAATCTAGATTTGAATAAGATGGTAATGAAGAATTCGTATCTCTAGATAAATTTAATGTATCATGAGTTCTAATACTAAACAAATCCGATTTTTCGAAAAAAAAAACAATCAAAACAAATCAACAAAAAAAATGATCAAGTTTTTTCTTTTTCTCTTTGTCAAGTAAGTAGAGGATCAAGGAGGTGAAGTTTTTTTAAAGACTTACATACTATCAGTAGATAAAGAATAAAGTCTAGCTCCATCATTCGATGAAATTAAAGAACTAATCCCATGAGCTCTTTTGATGGAATTCGATTTAAGGTTCAATAAACTGAAATCATATGATTCTTCAATTGGAATCGGATGAACTTTAGAACTATATGGAGTTTTCCAACGTAAATCCCATAATTTAATCACACTATCAAACTCAAAATCAAAACCAAATCAAACATCAAACATCAAAATGTGAATGAATTGCGACTCAAAAAAGAAAAGAGATTTTGGGGAATAGGGATGAGTTACCTATTCGCACTACCGGAAGAAAAGATTTGTCGATCGAGATGGGTTGACCAAACTAATGAAGTCACCGAAGGTAAATGTATACCTTTTTTACGTTTTTTACCTTTGAATTTTTCATCATGAGCATTTTTGATAGTTAAAACAGGCGAATAAATTGGAGAATCTATTCAATCAATCAAAAAATAAGAAGTCAATCTTTAGAGAAAAGAAAAGAATTTTTTTTAGGAAGGAAAGGATGAATTACCAAAAACACTTTGATTTTCAGATGTTCCAATGATTCTTAAATCCCATAATTTGATACACCCACTTCTACCACCCGTGATGATTAAGTTCGAATCGAGATTTGAAAATTCAACTGATTTAACCGTACCTTTCTGATCATCTAAAGTAGACACCAATTCACCGGTTTCAAGATCAAAGATTTCAGAAACCCTACCACCCGAACCTGTTGCAATAAATTGATCTGTGGGTGAAAACTTTAATGTAAAGAGACTATTTTGTGATGCTTGAATTGATTGAATGGGTGGTGATTCTAGAATAAGAAAACAAAAGATCCGAGTCAGTTTACAAGATTGGTGAGGGGTTTGGATTAGAGTTGTAGGAAAATCGGGTCACCTGGTGTGATGGATTTGAAGTCATTAGGATTATAAAATGATATGTTTCCCATCGCACTACCAACAGCCAATAACCCACCCCTTTCACCACTTTTAGCCGCTAGAATTCCCCACGAAAAATCAATGCAATCAATCCATCAATCAAGAATCCAAGGATGTTTTCATCCGATTTGAAAATTCAAAACCAAAAAAACAAACGAACCATGATTAAACCCAAGACTATAAGGAAACTCATAACCAGCTTGATAATCTTCATTCCAAAGCATAAACTCATTCAAGAAACCTAATCTAAAAGACTTAAGCTTGATAGGTTTTCTTAAATCATCATTCGATAAGAGATCCTTTGATTTCTTCCAATTCAACTTTGATCTTCTTAACCAACATTGATCTTGATCTTGAATACAATTCAATAACTTTCTTCTTTTTCGATCTCTACCTCTTTCTTCATGATCAGTTTCTAAATCTTCACTCTTCAAATGTTCGTCTTCCTCTTCTTCTTCGTCTTCTTCTTCTTGGGTTTCTTCATCTTCTGTTGTTCTAGTATAACTTAATTCAGAATAAGAATAATCAGGTGAACTTGTTCTTCTTTGTAAACATTCTTTGATGGTGATTTGTTTAAATTTAGGATTATAATTCGATTGAAGATCGTCTGATTTTAAATAATAATCTGACTTTAGTTCAGGTTCATCATCATCATCATCTAAATCTGATAACTTGGGTCTGAATGAATTGATTTGTTGATTTGGAATTGAATTGGTTTGATTTGTTCTTGTTCTTGTTGTTCTTGTTCGTGTTGTTGTTGTTGTTGTTGGTATTGAATCTAGAGTGTTTCTTGATGAAGAAGCAGTTGAAGTTGAATTGGTTAAAGTTGAACTTGAACTTGAGTCTGTCATCCTTTTCTTTTTTTGTTTTGGTTGAAAGTGTTTCTTTTAAAATTTCAATTCATTTACTATCAAACTGCATTCAACCAAACTGCAGTCTATCAAACTACATTTCAAAGCTAAACAACTCAGGCCCTTTCACCAATTCGATTCACTCTGATCATTCGTCATCTTCAACTCATCAATGGCCATAAATAGGCTTCATTGAACTTTATTGAGCCTTTCTCTTCTCAATCATCCTCACACTAACACTCATGCTCACGTTGTAAATCATAAACTAATCTTTTAAATTACATTTCAAACCCTTCATCTCTTTCACACCCAACCAAAAAAACCAAATCATTGAAAAACCCATCATGTAAAGCTTGTGTGTTTTGTGTTTTGAATTCTAAACATCTAAAGTGATAAGAAATCTTTCACTTCAGTTTCACTTAATTTTCTAAACACAGCCTTAGATCCATCTTTACGTTCAACAGTATCAGCTCCTACTCCCACCGTACCAATCACTCCAATCTCAATCGTCTTTTCCGTCATTTGTCCTTCGAATCCTTCTTTAAGTGTCAAAATTGCCGTATGAATCGCGTCATCTAATGAAAGATCATCATTATATCTAAACGTCCAAACCAAAAATCAACTTTAGCTTATCAATTTCAAACTTGAGTTTTTTTCTTTTCACACGGGCGGGGGGCTTTTGTTTACCTTTTTTCTAAAAATGTCTTTCCATTCACCATATTCTTGCCAATCGCACTGGCTTTCCATGGCCAAAAACTTCCACTTGGATCTACTTGATAAAGTGTTGAACCTCTTTGTTCATCCCATCCTGCTATAAGTAATGAAACTCCAAATGGTCTGACACCTCTATCGGAACAACCACCAAATACAAAACCAAAACCATTAGTTTTTCTTTCATCAATCTTAGGAACCAAGAGAAATTGTGGTACCCTGATTGAGTAGCTTCTTGCATTACAGTAGCGATTTCTTGAGTTAATAATCTTGTAGGTGGATATTCACCATAAATCTTCATTTAAAAATCAATCAAAATCAATCCAAAAACTCAAAATCAACAACGTGAATGAATTGTTTTGTTTAGAAACTTAAATCAAATGATTTACTTTCCAATAAGATTGAGCAATTTTTCTAGCTCTAGTCACTAAGATCCTATAATCAGGTCCCATACCTTTTTTCAAAATCACCAAAAAAATCAAATCAAATCAATCAGTAATCAAAACTTAATCCTTTTTTTGTTTGTTCCGAGAAAAACGTTTATGAATGAATTTCTAATTTACCTGAATAAACCATTCCAATATTAGGACAAATACTTGTAACTTTTTCAATCATACTATCATCAACCAAAATTGAAGAAGTTTTCTTTTCGGTTGCAATGACTACCCCATTTGTAGCTATATCCCCCCATAATAAAAAAAACAAAAAAAACAATCAATGACTTTTAGAAGATGAATGATATAAAAAAGAAGTAAATGTTTCTAACCTTTAATACCAAGACTTGAAGTACCAGCCGAAACAGCTGCTAAAGCGTGTTCGATTTGAACTAATTTACCTGAAGGAGAGAAAGTGGTAAGTGAGAAACTATACGATCCACCTGATGCCATTTTTTGAGAAGGTTGATTCGGATGTTTGAGGTGTGGTGAAGTTGAGGTTTGGTTTAGAAAGTCGATCGATGACGAATGGTTTGATCAGATCAGATTACACTCATTGGAACTTGAAATCGCATACGTAACCTTATGCGTTATGGTGTAATAAAGGTTTTTGAGGCTTTGAACCCATACCTGGACTTTCAAAACTGATTGTGCATTTAGCCAATGGCAAGACTTTACAAATTCTAAACTTCTTCATTTCAAAGAAGCTGATGAAGAACCAATTGAATAGTATGAGCGCGAAATGGACATCGTCACTACACTTTCCTTTCATTTCCTTTAAAAAAAACCTGGTCAATCAAAACCCCATTTAAAGGGTTTTTCAAAAAAAATGTAATTTGGTTTATGAACCACTTGGTTAAAAAGGTGTTTTTTTCACAAGGAATGCTATATATATATATATATATTCTTTAGAATCAAATATCAAACCCTGATTCTTTGAAAACATTTTTCTTATAACCCTTCATTAACCTTATCAACGAATCCATGTATGTAGGATCCCAGATAGCCAAATCTAAGTGCCATTATCTTGTTGATTCCAAAATGTGTGCCTCACACCAACTATCAAGTTGTGTGACCAAACACTCATCAACATGACACAGATTTTGTCATCAGTTTGAGCTTTGAGATGGTCCTGGGTAGAACCTGAGAGTCTGATGGATGGTTGGTTAGGTTTTCCACAAAGTAGGTAACTAGTAGCAAGGATCAAGAAATCTCACTTGTTTCAATTGGGGCCTAGTTTTTTCAAAGAAGCCAAATTCTACCAATTTATTTTTGACAATTCATCTATCCATTATCATTCATGATTTAAATAACTTTCCATACTTGTTCATCAATTAATCAAAGATTTCATTAAGATCAAAATTGATTTTTTTGGATACTTTCTACACATCTTCAAAAAAAGAATCAAGATTTAATTCTTAAACTAATCTCATTTATGTTTTGTTTTTGATCTAGAAAACATTTCATTTTAGCTCTTCTTTTTGCTCATGATTTCTTAAATTCACCTTGGAATTAAAGTTCAAAGCCTTTCATCAAACTAATCTCAAGACCCATTCACTTTTTTTGTTTTGGTACACTTCAAAAAACTTGAATATCTTCAAGTAATCTGAATCTCATCACATTTCTTTATTAATAGTAATACAAAGAAAAACTTATTGCCAAGAATAATACCATCAGTCATGAATCTCTCCAACAATCTCTCAATCAATCATCTCAATGGCTCTCAAAACTTGCCCTACAAGTTTCTAACAATTGCACATTTTTTCATTCTTCACTGTACTCTAAAAGGTAAACAAATATGTATGATGGGTATGTGGTGGTACGTAGAATCAACAAAAGTTAAGAAAATTCATCTTAACTTGATTTGTATGAAAAAGCAAATAATATGTCAATCTTAAGAGGGATATGGTTTCTTGGGAGTAAAGATGATCATACCGTGATACGAAAAAATCAATTTACTTTCAGTTTTCTTCTTAAACTATTTCTCATTTGCTAAATTTACAACCTTGGGTAACAGAAGTCTTTGGCTTCTTCAAAAGGCGATAAAGACCCTTTTCTAAAATAAAAGAAACACAAGCAGGTTGCCTCAACATGTATGATACCAATAAGCAAAGAATGATCAAAGTTGATGGAAGCTTGAGATGAAAGCTTGTCACTTCAAGTAATGTTGATCAGAAAGCATTGTTCTTAGTCATGGTAATTTCTGGCCAATGGCAACTTGAGTGTATTGTTATGAGCAAAGATGCCGTATTAGATAGTGACATTGGAGCAAGTTCACTTGTGCTGGCCTAAAGAGGTATTAGTGTGCTGTAAAGCCAGTTGGATGCGAGTAAGGGGATATAGACCAATGAGTGGGATGTGCACAGAGCAGTAAAGTGTGAAATCTTTCAGCGCCTAATGCCTCCAATCAATCGCGCTGGCAGCGGTAATCGAGAGGACAACATATATATAGATTTTTCTGGTTTTATCATCTTTCGGTCATATCAAACTCACAAAAGAACAATGGGTTTTATGATCACAGAGGTGTATATCATCTCATCTCCATATAAAAAAAAAAGTACACGCACAAAACAAAATTGAAAAGGAGTTGAGCAACACACACACACACAAGAGTAAAAGGCGGGGGGGGAAGACAAAAACCTCATTAAAAAATCAAACTCATCGTAATATACACATGAGAAAAGCCCACAAGACAAAAAAAAACCATCTTAGGCTTCAGTAACCCACAAATCTCTCCTCACGAGCTCGAGCAGCTGCCATAAGTTGTGCAAGGCCTGGTGACATCATTCCATGATGAAGTCCAGTTTCTCCAATGTCCAAGTATTGTTGTTGAGGTTGAATCATCGTGTTCTCAAAGATTTGAGGATGGAATTGAAACTGGGTAGGGGTAGGTGAAGGCGAGGGTCTGGCACCGAGAGCCTTGATGGCCCTTTTGCGAATGCGAGTAGCGAAATTTTGATTAGTTAGTTCGGCCTCAGCTGCTGGACCTCTGGGTTGTCGGACGGGCATCGCACCGAGAACTACGGCCGGTAAAGAGTTGGAAACCGATCTAGCAGCGGGTGCACGGGTCGTGTTGGAAGCGCTACCAGGTGGCGACTTGGATCGTACAGCCCGATATAATAAAGCAGGAGGGGAGGCAGCCGGGGTCGAGGCAGCGCTTGCAGGTGCTGGCGAATTAGTGGCGGTGGCAGTAGGTGAAGAGCGGGCAGACTTCTCAACACCACTTTGCTTGGGACTGCTGTTCGTAGATGAGGCCGATCCGGGAACGAAGACAGAGGAGAACGGGTTTAGTTTTGGAGGAGCAGTGGTGTTGACTGAAATAGCAGACTTCGAAGCGGCAGGAGCGACTTTGGCCGCACTGGCTTTGACTACCTCGGAAAACTTTTTCTTGGGGGGAGTAGCTTTGTCTGGCTTCGATTCACCTTCGTGATTGTCACACTCAGAGTTTTGAAGGGAGCGAGTGGTGAACGAAGAGAGAGATCCAACGGTGGAAGCAGAGGAGTCGGAGTCTGTGTGTTGGTGAGACTTGCTCGTGACTTTGGGTGAGGTACTAGCTGGGGTGATGGTCGCAGCAGCCGACGAAGCCAAGACTGGGAAGGCTTCATCCGGTTTGGAGAAGACCAACGCAGGGGGAGTCAAGGATTGACCGCGATCAGCCGATCCTCGTTGGACATGAGAAGGCAAATCTTGCAAGAGGTCATCTTCTTCTTGCTCGTTAGGATGAAATCGAGCATAAAGCGCATCAGCTTCGGCTTGTTGTCGTCGAGCTAAAGCACGTTCAGCAAAGATACCGCCCTGAGAGTGAGTGAAGTTGAGACGACCACCGGCAGGAGCATTTCGAGCGGCATGAAAACCACCACGAAGTTGTTCGGCCTGAGCCTGAGCTTGGGCTTGTTGATGAGCCCGGACCTGGCCCACCATAATTTGCTCTTGAAGACTGTAGAGGTAAAAGCCAAGTATCAGCGGGACGTTCTAAAATGATAAACTCATGAGGCATGTGTACTGACGCTAAATTCTGAAGTCGCATTTGCTCGAGTTGAAGGTGCATCTCAAGTTGAGCCTGTTGCTGAGCAAACTCAAGTTGCTGTTGTTGATACAGAGCAGCTTGAAGTTGTTGCTGTTGATACATATTCATAGCAGCAGGTGCGTAGCTGGACTGTTGTTGAGATTGCCCTCGACGAAGTCCATGGCCATAGGCATTGTGATCCGAAGCGTAAGACATCGAATCGGGTGCAGGTTGGTTGTTGTTGGAAACAGTGTAGTAAAGCTCGGTTGACATGATGGATGTAAATAGCTGGTAGGGTTGAGGGCCGAAAGGCTGATGAGCGAATCAATCGATGGAGCAAATGCAGAAAACAGCGACAAAAGTTTGTTGAACAGGCCAAAGGATGATAAGTTTGAAGTGAAGCTGGTAAAAGAATGAAGTGATAGATGCAACAGGCAAATCAAAGATTTCAATGAGAAACAAAAAGTGAGATTAAGACAACGTTGGTTGGTTTCGATAATTGAGTGTTGAAAGAAGTATATCAACTGCGAAAGAAAACGAGAACAAAGGAGAGTAGATATGTGACGTCTAATAAAAAAAAAGTAATAATACGACCGGAGAGATGATTTGAAAAGCCGTTGGTTGAAGAAGGTACAGAGATCGATTGAAGTTTGATGGTTGTTGGCGAATGAACACAATCGAAAGAGTCCACAGGGATTAGTGGTGTGCGAGTTGGAAGATAGACGAAGATTGAGAAAGAACCAATGGAAGCGCAAGGTTGAGCTAGAGCGAGGTAGCTGAAGACAATCGGAAAAAAGGAAAACAAGAGAGATGAGTGGGTTTTAATGAATCAAATCAGATGATGTAAATAATAATAATGAAATTGGTGAAAGGATCGAAATAATATTTTTTGTATTGTATAAATGAAGAATAAGGGAGGAAAATCAGGTTGAGAGCTGAAAAAGGGTAAAGGAGTCGAAGTAAGAGGAGGAAAGGGGAAAATGAAAAAAAAAATGAGATGATGAATTTATATCTGTACCAAATTTTTTAAAAAAAAAAGAAAACTATTTTTCAGTTTAAAATCGCACTAAAACAAGGTCAAGTGAGTCTCGATCAGGCTGTAGTTCAAATTTCAAGCGGATTTGATTTGAGGCGCCGCCGCAGAAGTTAGTGAAGCACACACAAAACAAGTCGCAATCGAAGGAGATGATTGATAGCTGAGAAATCTTAACAGGGACTGGGAAAATTAATTTAAGATGTAAAAAAAAAATTAGAAGAAGGGAATCAAATAGAGAATGCAGTAGAAGATTGAATTCAATAGGATGGGTTTGAAATTCAACCAAGTCTCAACAAGTCAATCAAGGTTACAGTAATACAGCTTACAAGTCAACTGTATGTAAGAATGAGTTTAACTTCTGTTGTCCTGTAAAAAGGATTACTAAGCTTCTGTGTATCTATGGACTAACTTGGATAGATGGATGTGATAAATCGAGATCTGATTCTTAGAAAGAAGGGCGAAGTAAAGAACTTGAAGGAAACGGTGGGGTGAGCAGTGTGAAATGATAAATGCAATAAGAACGTGTTGGGACGGTTTGAGTAAAATCAAGTTTATATTTGGATTAAGTCTTAGCTTAAGCTCAAAAAAATCATGGAAAATTAATCACATCGATCAAAGTAAATGCTGGACGGATCCAGGACAGTTCAGATAGATCATGAACTTCAAATCAAAGAATACAAAGCAGATCTAGTCCGGTGATACATTCCAACTTTTCTGTTTGAATGAGTTGTTTAGTCATCACAAATCGGGCTTATAAGTCCTGCTTCAGAACGTCTTGCCGTGGCTGATGAAAATCAGCCTCATTCCGCGGTCAGCGCAAGTGATATGAAGCGATCAAGATACCAAATAAACTGATGGATGCATATAAAAGACGAAAATTGACATAATCATGGACAGAAAGGATGCAAAACTAACGTTGAGACTTACACAATCAAGCCGATAAAGGTGAAAAATTGATTCGATCAAACCGATCACAAATGTTTAAAGCTAAAAAACCAAAGAGAATGATTGACTATTGAAGTAGAGGGTAATAAGGAGGTACCATGAGCATCACATCAAAACTAAGTACTATCTGAAATATACTCCAAGGTAACCAAATCACACACACCTCTATTTGTTTTTCTGATGAAGTCCAGGCTAGTTAGGGTTCTCAAGGGCCGTTGTGTGAAGCAAGTTAAATCAGGAGAAAAAGGACCGGCCTTTCGTCGTTGTCTTGGAAGTAAAAGCCACAGAAGAACAAAGATGAAAGTAGGGTGTTTGTTTGGTTAAAGTGAACGAAAGTGAGCAACACGCAAGGGTTTGAGGTACAAGTAATCTTCTTTTGGGTCGAATTCTGAGTCTTGAAAACAGAAAGGATAAAAAGAAAGGAAAATGAAGGATGATTTTAAGATGATGAGATATGATCAAGAACAATAATGTGGTTCTCTATCTGGTTTTCTATCAAAATAGCAAGTTGATAGCTCTCGCGTCAAGACGGATACGCCTGTGAGAAGTTGAAAATTGCAATCGAGCTTGAATCCAGGGTTTTCGAGGCAATCGATCGCTTAAACTTCGTATGTACTGATGATGCTCAAGAAGTCAGATTGGGGTAAGAAAAGAATTAGACTCGAAGCTTACAAGAGATATATATGCAATCGAAGAACGAAGCTGACATGAAACCTATATGCAATCGAAGAAGATTATCAACACCAATAACGTTGCATCACGCCTTGGTGAAGATGAAATGAAAAATGATGGTGTACGAATTCTTCATGGATTCCAAAGGCAGCAACTGTAGACTTCTATTTTTAAAAAAGTCCATCAAGAAGTCGGTTGATAGGGGGACTAATGATCGTAGTGCGTCACCACTTCATCACTTTCACCGATCAAATTGTCACCAAGCGATACTGAACCCTTCAAAATGGATTGTGTTAGCCTGGACAGCTATGCCAGACCAAATAAACTTTCAGCTGGAGTCAAATCGTGAAAGAGAATATTTCTTCACCTCACTTATACATGTTTGGGAGTGCCATGAGATGACATGATTGGACCAAGAAACCAGTCCACCAAGCCCCCAATCCCGGGTGAAGAGGACCATTTGATGTTCAGTACCATGGTATTTTAGTCTTCAAAGGCGAGGCCCTCTGAGGCTCAAGGTACACAGACTCAGTGCGTACCACAAAGATCACAATCAAAGGGGAATCTATCTTGCTAAGCGCATCTCCAACGAAGCTATCAATTCCCAATCAAAGTGTATATGATCCTTTGACCTCGAAAAGCGGAACAGTATGATCCTTCTATGACTCTGACAAATCCATAAATTCTCGTCATTCACTCTGCCAAGGTCACCAGTCTGGGATACTACAAGCTTTGGATTCGGTTGAAAAGCCATTCCTGTTGGTATACTTCAAGGTTTTAGGTATGCAGCTGCTGAACCGCTAGAAAAGCCTGCATTTCACCACATCTTGGAAGGGAAGAGACTTTGGCCTATCGCCACGTACCTTTTGGTTTTTAATTCCTTCCTTGTTTATTTTCTTGCTATGGGTGCCACTGCTAATCATGGGAGATATGTGCCAATTGATATCACTGGAAAAATGGCCATATTTTCTTTGCTTTACCAAAGCACACTTTGAATATGATGTGATAGAATGGGTCAACAAGCACCCTTCGCACAACGCTTTGCTCGAAAGCCTTAGATGTAAAATGACAAAGTCAACCTTCAATATTTATGGATGGTAGTCCAACAGTTCAAACTAGCTGAATATGCACCTTCAAGGGTTTTTTCTATGGACAAATACTGGTTGGATTCTAAAAGTTGATTCACATATGATTCTTGAGATCTAGTTGTCCAAATATATTGAGATTGAGGAAGTATGGAGAGAACCTTCCTTGAAACTACTGCAGTAGTCCTCAAGACATGAGAGAAGTCCCTATACTTTTTAGAAATTCACAAGACGATGTGTAGTGAGAGTCACTGACTTTTTTGCGTAGCTTGACTGGAGCCACATATGCGCAGGAAAAAAGTTGACTACACGCTGTTTGGCTACTGCGGCTTGAGTGCTATGTCAGCACATGAACCCCATTTCTGGCGCAAGTGAAGGGCCTCCAGAGGCTAGTTACGAGGGTCAACACCTCAAGGTGCACCACCTTTTCTTACCTCCAGACCTCTACACAGAAATCTTGAACTACCAATTTGTCTGTGGACCCGTATTGAACACAGTTGAAGAGTCATTGGGGCCTTGCATCTGGTTTATAGTCTAAATATGAGATCAATTATTGTATCCCATAAACTTATAAATGCCTTGGAAAATGTCAGGACAAGGAGTTCTCAAGAGGCAGTACTCTTTGAGGCTTGAAGATGGTTTGTAGTCTATTGGCCAAGGTTTGCTCTTCAAACCTATCATTCATCTGCATTACAAATTCTCCCTCAGATCAAGCTTTTTTACATACATCCAGCCATCAAATGATCAGAGAAGGCTATAGCATCACAAAATCACGCTGTGCTGGGGGACGAGTTAAAGCTAACCATATGACCGACACATAGAGCAGTGTAGAGATGCTCTCGTCGGTCGTGGACTCACTGCACTTTTAGATAGACCTCTTGTTGATCTTGTCGAGAAGCATAATCTACTCATTTTCACCCAGATGGCATAGTTTCTTTACCATTAGTCTGAGTCATCTTAGTTTGAGTTGAGCTTTTGATCCTCATATCTACTTTTGACAAAACCTCACAATTGATCTGGATACTGTTTGATTCGGCCCTAGCTTATCTTTGCCCATATTTTTTACTTGCAGTATGATTCATGAACCAATTCGAATGGAAGGTGTTGATGCTTTAGTGAGTCTTGCCTGTAGGCTCTTCCTTAAAACCCCCAACTTCAAGCCGTTAGCAAGAGGCTCATCACTTGTAATCCACCAAGGGGTATATTTAAATATGTGAAATGCATAAAGGACCTTGTGCAGCATTTGTCAATTCACACAACCCCTAGACTGATGTGATGATGTCCTCAGCACAGGTTTGTGGGTTTGTAGGAGTCTGGAGTGGGACATGCATATGCATGATCTTTTGATATGCTTAAATCGAGTTTTGCTTATAGCTGAAGTTCTGTTTGTTTCCACTTTCAACCCAGTTAAGGTCATCGTCCAGTTCCGTCTATTTCCTTTCAATCCTTCACGTTCCACATGTCTTTCGGTCGTCCTGGAAATTTAAAGTATGTGTCACTTACGAACAAGAACTACATCTTACTTGGACAGCATTTCTCTGATGGCTCTCTAACATCATGTTTGTTTCTCCCCAGAGACTCGTTCACAGCCACACCTCCCGATCGAGGCTCTTTTCCACTCGATCACTTTCATGATTGTTCTTCTTTCATGAAAACCTACCTCGACTGCCTCAAAACTTACCAACAAAACCAAGCTAAATGTCGACTAGAAAGTAAAAACTACTTAGGATGTCGGATGGAGAAGGGATTGATGGCACGCGTGAATTGGGAAGATTTAGGTCTGGCAGACGTTCCTGGTAATGGTGGGATGTCGGAGGACAACAAAGGGGTCAGAAGCAGTGCAGCAGATTGATGATTATTATCATTGGATGCCCCATGCATAATCTAGATTCACATGATGGGAATTGAAGAGAGGATCAACAAAAGTCTATCAATCAAGGACCCATGATACGTCATCTCGAATTGAAGCCTTGCGACCCGAAGATCTAGAGTTGTGATTAGCCCTTGCGTACTCTGAGTCTCGGACACACGAAATATTGCCTTCGTCCTCTTTATAGCAATACTAGGCACGCTTGCACCTTCAGGACTTCTGAAAGTGGTGCACCTCACTCGACTCGGCTGATATAGAGAACTGGGTAACAGTAGGAGGAAAATTGAGCAACAACTCAAACAGGTTTATGACACGTTCTGACCACCGCCTACATACCATTGTTCCCCCGTACAAATGCATCACCATAGCTATTCCGCTTAATCCCATTCACATATTCTTCCGTGTTCTCGAGCGCAATGTTCATGTAACCATCCAAGCAGGAGAGAATGCCTGAGGTGTCGGTCCAAGGAGTTGCAAGTGATGAATGAGTACATATCAGCGTTCTGTTTTTTCGGATTTGGATACCAATTGAAACCACAGCATATCAAAGACACAGCTAAAGAAAAAAGACCGACCACGATAGTCGACACCACTGTTCAGCCGCACAACCACTTCGTGACCAACGACTTGCTTCAAGAAGTCAGCGGGAGTACCCCCCGTTAAAGTGGTGGTTGCGTTGGTGGATTCTTCATTAGTCGAGCCGTTTGCGTCCGCCATTGAGTGCCGATGGAGTGTGCTTAAAGTACAGAAATATCACCGGTGACCCCAGAAACATTGAGGCGACCGGGTTTCCATGGCTCTCGGTACTCATCTGGACGGGCGGACGACCCGCTGTATCACTGATGCGAAGCCGGTCCATGTGGTTACATGACGCGCACACAGTTCAGGATGGGGGCGCAGCCTTGAAAAAAAGGCGCGCCCTGGCGCGTTTTTGTGAAAAAGGGCGCGTCTAGGCGCCACTGGCGCCTTAGGCGCAGCCTTTCACCGCGCGAAAATGAAAAAAAACATGAAAAAAATGCGAAAAAAATCCATGGAATATACATATTTGTTGCTGATAAGGTGGAAGATGGATTGTTTTGCTCACCTTGTTTCCGAGACGTTTAGGCGCGCCCTGCGCCCAGGCGCGTTATTTTTTTTGCGCCCCCATCCTGACACACAGTACATTCGAGAACAGTCAGTTCAAAGTTGGCAGCTCAGCCTCTGGTCAGTCTTGAGCTCATACAAAAATATGACTTGTTTTCAAGAAACTGTTCAAAATAACGGGCCACATATTCCCATTTCCATGAATGACTTTGGCCACAGGCAGATGCTTCAGATCCATGATGATTCTTTGTACATAGAAAAAAACCTTGTTGCATTTTGAGAGGTTATCATCTATTGTCACAATTCTTTGAAGAGCTATGAAAAACATGATGAATCTTGCCTCTGTTCTATTAAATTCTGTTGTAATGATCTAGCTTGAAGACAAAGCTAATCCCTGGATGAATGTGAGTTTCAAAATCTTGTTCATACAGAGTGATAGATTTGATGAGAGGAATCCAACATAACTTATGAACAGCGCACTGCAAACATAAGTGAAGAGTAAACAATATCATAAATAACATCATCACAAATATTTATGTGACATGTGGATGGGTGAAATGTTGGAGTAAATTGTGGACTGGCAAGCCCCTGGTAGATGGAATACCTAAAATCATCAATTTCAGTCTGTTCAATACCAGATAAAAATAAAAAATCTGAAAACTTATGGTTCCATACACTTTTCATCCCTATGCTTTGGGGCCTTGGTGATGTGGTCAAACAAAAATTCAACTCTCGTACCCTACATGTTCAAAAACTGGGTTTTAAGTGTTTTGAGACAATAATTTTTTGGGGGGGCAAAAAATGCAAAAATCTTGTTTTTGGGGATATTCTGATAGAAGCTGATTGGAATTCATATTTGTTTTCATGTTGTACTTGTAGATAATCAAATACAGCCGTTGTAAGAGCTATCGGCAGATTTTTAGATCATTGTGTTGTTGCCAGATCTAATGTAGAGGTCAAAAACTCCAAAAAACCCTTTTGAGACTGATAACTTTACTGCCCATTGGTCAGATCTAGCACATGAACAATTGAGTTACTCTCAAAGTGACATAATTTTTGAGTTTTTGACTTCAAAAGTTAAATCTGGCGACGACACAACTTTTCAAAAATCTGCCAGTAGATAATACAACGGCTGTAACTGTGTCAAAGATCAAGAACAAGCAATCATGTGGCTACATCATCACCTTCTCCTAGGTGAAAATTTGGCTGTACACTTAAGGGCGCGTTCACTTAAGCAATTTCTGGTGAGAAATCACATTCTGCAAAATTTAAAGTGTCTATTTGGTGGTGTATGTTTCATTTTTGCATTAAAAATCTTACAGAATGTGATTTCTGGTCAGAAATTCCTTAAGTGAACGCGCCCTAAGTGATACAAAGCTTCTTCCACCTAGCCTTGAAAGTTCACGTTGGAAGTTCACGTTTCAGGGATATGTACAAGAACTTGAATTTTACATATAAGCACAAGATGGAAAGTTTGATGAGGTTTGGTAGTGGCTTGGTTCTGGAATTCCTGATCCCTTGACAGCTAGGTCACCTTTCATTGGAGGTGATGAAATTCATACATTTAGGGCCCGTTCACTTAAGCAATTTCTGATGAGAAATCACATTCTGCAAAATTTAAAGTGTCTATTTGGTGGTGTATGTTTCATTTTTGCATTAAAAATTTTACAGAATGTGATTTCTGGTCAAAAATTCCTTAAGTGAACGCACCCTTAAACCCAAGTATTATCTTGAAAGAATCAAATTCATACCTCTCAGACCTCTTGTCACAGAATTCTGACTCAAAACTCATCCATTTTCCCAAATGTATAGTGGGAACCATCAAGACACAAGAAGCCATGGACCGGGTAGTTTGTAATTACATACAACAAACATCTGATTTTCCTCTGGTACACTCTTGACCATCAGGAATAAAAAAAACAAGAACTTCAAAAATTGGTCTTCTGAGGATATTTTTGAATAGCCCTGAACAAGAGGAGCCCAAAAATATCTTGATTTGTGAATTGAGTGATATTTGTGCCTTCAGCAATCTTTTTTGAAAAATTATCCAATTAAGTGGCTCTTGATGGTTCCCACTATATTATGGTGTTATCAAAATACAACTGTTTATTGAGAGAAGGTTCATTTTTCTCATGGGGATTTGCATGATGGATTTGGTTACAAATGTGCAACAGAAAATATAGAGCAAGGGTGTGAATGTTCTGGACCCAGGTTGTGCTTTTTCAACATTTTTATGTGTTACTTGCACTCCCAAAGTGCAAGGGTTCAGCAACTATTAGGCTGACTCTTCACTAAGAATGGGAAGTAAGGATATTGGTACAGTCTTCACCTGGTACACCCAAGTGAAGACTGCAGTTAGTTGACTTCTAAAAAGAGGATCTGTTGCTAGTGGGATGGCTGAGCTGTCCTTTCCAAGGATCTGCCTCTGAGCTCTGGTTGAGCTTGCAACTCTGTATCCTGCAGTACTTCATACTCTGAGGGTTCAGAGGTGCCATGGGGTGCTTAAGACTCTCTTATGAAGTGCCCTTTGTAAATTCCAAGCTTGTTCTGTTAGCTGATAGTCCCACAGGCTTCAGGACACCACTTGAAGCTTTACAAATAGCTAGATGAAAAGTAGAACTTTGATAATCAATAAAACAACAGAATAATTGTACTCAATATTCTTTGTGAAGAATCAAGTAATATGTGATGAAGAGTTGTGTAATGATATGGAGTTGGTTCCTCTTCCAAAGTGAGAAGAGGAACCTTTTTTATTCAAAGTCCTAGGCCTCAACTTGTGGTTGGAACCAAGTTTGATTTTCTTAGGATTAATTTTAACTTTACTATTTGAGTTGTAGTTAAGTCTTATTGCTCATCTTGATAATTACCCATGAGATGTAACTGTCTTGCTTTTGAGGCATCCACTATTGTCTTGGTACATGGCATTGGTACAGTAAATTTTACTGAAATTTACCGTACCAAGAATTAAAATCCCCCATTGTGTCCAAAGTACAGATTGGTATGTACAGAATCACTCAAAGATCAGCAGGGGTCCAGCTAGTAAATCTACTGGACCCATACCCAATTGGTATCTGAAAATCCACTGGACCTGACCAAGCTGCTGAGCCACACACCACACCACCACTCACAAAAAATAAACTTTTACTACACCTCTCTGTTTCTGCTCTCAATCAACATACACCTACCCAATTCTCAACACAAATATTGAACATCCAATTTCCTTTTGTATCTATCCTTATCTATCCCATCTTGATGTTGTTTACCAGTGGTATCAAGTCTTCCTGTTTAAAAATCAAATGTTTTAAAACCAATTGCTCTCAATTTGATTATTTTTAAATTGATGTCTTGAAATTGGTATTTTTCAAACTGCTTGTTCTTGGATTGTTGTTTATAAAATTTTCACATCATTTGTTCTTGCAACTCCAAGTCTCCTTTAACCCAGTGTGAATCATCATAAAAGCAGCCTTTAAGGAGCCAAGGTCTTTCTATTATTTTCTTCTGACCTACTTTCTGATCATTAAGATTCCATATAATGCTCCTTAATATTGGGGTGTTGACCCACATCTTGTAGCCTAAAAAAAGTGTAGCTTGAATCAAGGATTGGATGTCCAAAGATAGAGTTTGGCTTGCAAGAGTTCAGAAACGGGTCTTTGAGCAAGGTTATTGATAATAGATCTCTTGTTTCTGTATTACCAGTTGTCGCAACATATCTCAATATTGACATCAGCGCCAAGTGGTGGGCTTCTTTGTGAGGAACTAGATTGAGATCTAGGTCACTTTGGAGATCTTTAGCTGTACCGGCCGCTTTTAACCACAACTTGTTGTTCACAACAAGAGCTATGCAACCATACATGGCACCTGATATTTGAAGCAAGAATCTGATTAAATTGGCGGACAGGTTTGCCAAAGAACTACAAAGGTATGTTCATTTTTGAGGTGGTTAAAACAATATTGTTCAGAAGGTTGAATCACTATTGTCACTGATTTTGATTTATGTTTGCCAAGTGTGAGATGCAGCCAGAAGTGCAGCAACGTCAAAGTTTTGCTTTGTTGTCTCAGAATTATTGAACACCCTTTGTGATGTATTAGAAGGGTGCGATAAGTTTCCTGTGGATTGCTCCATGGTGGTTAAGGTGCTTGGCATCTCCGGTATTACTGGCAACCCAAGATGTGGTGAGGCTGAATTGGAGACAGGTGGCTTTTTGGATTGCTCATTTAAGTCAGGAGAAGTAGTCTTGGTTAGTGCGGAAATATTCCTATTGCTTGTAACACACAGAGCCATGGGGGAGTATTCGGAGTGTCTTGGTAGACGGACCTTGTGTTTTCTCTTCATATCTTGACACTTTGTGCCGCAACTTTGATAGGCTCTATAGGCCAAAAGGCGGTATCCATAAGCAAGTCTAGAGGCCTGAACTCTGAAATTTTCTATATAATTACAAAGCATTTTGCATGCCAAGCCCTCCAGAAGGAAAAGCTTGTGTTTGGAAGCCAAATAGATTTTCTTGTCAAAGGCATTGATGATCTCACACAAATCTTTGCTTTTGGAAGTGGTCAATAATTTTATTGCTTTCAGGAATATTGTCATCACTTTGAATTTAACCGCCTCTGAACTTGCAACCATACGCTGAATGAATGAAGAGTTGAATCCATGGTAGTGTAATCTTCTGCACCAACATTTTCCCCATTCCGGATGCCTTTACAAATTGCACAGAACACCAGGAACTGGCAGGTGATATTTTGTGCTGTAAAATAATTGCAATCCGTCAATGAGATACCTTTCATCGGCAGGTGAGGTTCAATAGATCCAATCCCTGACTTGCATAACACTCCCAAAGATGCATCACGCACTTGTAGATTGTTAAAGATGGGCCAAATAGGTCTTTCGAAAAGCAAGTCAAGAATCATATGGAAAGAAGTCCATTGGAGATTGTGCATGTGCAGCTCTTTCAAAGTCTCATATGCGCCGGGATCTAGTAAATGCCCAATCAATTGTGTTGGATTGTTGTCTTTGTCCAAGCAATGTACTAGATTCTCCATTGCTGTAAGTGCAACAGATGCAAAAACAGAACCGATAGCGGATTGTTTCCTTACTTGCGTCACTATCTGGACTTCTACGTCAATCTGCGGCTGCAATTGTGCGGAACCCCAAAACCCTATCACGAGCGCGTGAGCCAGCGAGTACGTGGCAACCTCGAAATTTGCTAAGATGTGTTGGAAAGATATCAGCTTCCTTGGGCGCTTAGTAAGAAGGGCTATGTAGACGGACCCAAGATTGATGCTCATTCATCAACTTGTAGGTATTCTTGGGCTGCTATGGCCCACAAGTTACATAAGAAATGACCTGAATGGAGACCAATTGGGCAGAGAAACTCAGTCTTCACAAATGTAAGGGTTTTTCAAGAAGGGAAACCAAACCTGAAGCTCCTTGGCTGAACTCAGACCCAGTTCTTTGACTGAAGAGGATAGAATTTGCAAAAATTCAGCTGAAATAAATTAAGACATATGAGATGAGAGCCTCACTATGGAGTTGTCTTTTTGGGATCAGTCATGGTTTTTGCCAGCTTGAGATATTTCTTGGCTGCATCAAAATTCTTTCAGCCGAAATTCAAGATTACTATCAGTGTACATTTACCAAAGGAAGAAATCATGAATACAAAAAAGAACTAGTTTTAAACTATAAAAGGGAAATCCAATGTTCAAGAGATAGCAAACATTTTCTTCACAACAGAAGAGAGCAACTGCACCAAGAGAGTAGGCCACGTGCAAGGAATCTCCGACTTTCTGTGATAGGGCCAATTGTGAGACAGGAGTCAGAATGTACACGGGTCAACATGGCTAAATTGAGAAAGATTAAGGAAAGGTGGAATTCACTCACTCGAGCAAACTCATAGCATAACCACATGATTGTCTTCCCTACGTTGGCCAAAGTGCTATAAACGGTTGGGATGATTCCCCATTGACAAACTACATTTCAACTTCAATTCAAAAAGAATCCTATGTACATCTTGCCTCATCTTGCTGCAACTTGAAGATCAATATTCCCAAACTTGAGTATGTTGTAGGTAGGTCACCACTAACACGACATTTCAGAACAATAAGAGTGGGCAATACAGATTCCTTCCGGCCACTTGGACAAATATGCATTAATCAGCACTAGAGCATCGGTGGGCGGTCGGGTCAGGCATCACTATAGAAATGAAGCAACGTAATGTAGATGTAGACTTAAGCGACGCGCTTAGATACGGTGCAACCAGAAGCGGCACACAAACAAATACCCGGAGGTAAGGATTCCGCCTTTTTCTACAAATCCTTTAGTGAGAATTTCCATTGAGGTCATAACGGAGACCAAATTCTCCACGTGAGGCAAGGTTTTCGCTCAGCGAATTGTATGTGCAGCCATTGTCATTGAACACAGAAGAAATGTAATGATGACTTGGAGATCTGCTCCTCAAGGCTTTAGATATATAGAGCTAGCATTGTAAAGAGTGTATGGGTAACGCACATCGACTCAGTCGCAGTCTTTCAGCAATCAGCAAGACCGGCCGTTACATAGTATCATCGCCACAACCCTTCTGCTTCTTTCGAGATGACACATCATCTGGAAACACATCCTGTGGTCCACCCACTCTCACAACTGATGTGAACGCCTGACGCGAAGTGCGCTTATTGCAAACCCCAATTTCCTGCTTGCCGATCACGTCCTTGATTCCTTCCTCAGGTCTAAAGGACAATATCAAAGTTAGCTGTTGATTTGCCACATCGACCAATCAAAGTCAAAAGGCTTACATCGGGCTCAAACCGTGTCGAACCTTATGGTTCCTGAGCCGACCACGACATGATTGCATTACATTCACCTGCGTGAGAACCAATTTAATCATGGTCACATTCAGCATGCAGGATGCGAAGAATACCTTGCTGATCCATATGGAGGACTCCACATCATATCCTGTGATGTTGCCTGATACGTAGACAATCGCACCAATCTGCCGCATAGACTTCGCGCTTTGCAATGTCGGCATCCTTTCAAGATGGTGCTTTGTCATCCACATGACAGGCCTTCGACTCTAGTAAACATACATCGTGGTCAGCCATGCTTATTATATGAATGGAGTCTACATCGTAAACTGACTGTGGGATCAATATCAGTAGATTGTAGCGTAATCATGCAGCCATCGGATGCACCAGGCAGGGTCGGTGGCATTGTTTCGATCGCCATGACCATACCCCGAGTCGTGAATGACACTTTGTCGATGGTTGTGTTCAGGAAATTCTCACTGACCTCTGCCATAGGACCGTGGTTGACACAGGTTGAATCATCGACGTGTAAGTAATCCGGCTTCGCATCATTGGATGCAATCAATTTGCACTTCATGGTGTATAGATTTCCGACCTTGATTCGACTTGCGGTTGATTTGGTGGTAATGAGGTTGACGTCGGTACTTCGGATACCTGCGTTGCCGACACCTGATGTTTCTATAGTGCCATGATGAACAACAAAGCCATCATCATTCAGAGACATCCGCAGAATCTACACAGTGAAAGCATAATGAAAACATCAAATCAACCATAGTGCGTTATATAGATAGCTATTCACAGTCACCTCACGACCGGCACGCCCTATGAAATACACATCGATTGGGTGGATGCGACAGGTGGCTGTGTTAAGTGACATGATCAAAGTCGAAAATCAAGATACGACGGTCGGGTGACTTGGAAAGAGTGGATGCACTCGGATTGTGTGGTTCAGTCAGGAATGAAGCAATGAATGTCAGACGCGATCCAATCAGCGGGAGCGCAATGCAATCGATGAGAAATATATTATAACCACTCACGTTGTCTGTTGCTACTATATATACACTATCCCCATCGCTGATGATTGTTCATGGTCGAAGTCACAGTGGGTCAGGCCCTGATCTCCGGTGAGCCTCCTACTACACCTACAGTGACAACTCCTTCTGTCTTAGCGATCCGTTGCCCGCCCATTAGAATCAGATTTACACCTTTTTAGATAGCCAGTGTGTTAAATGAGCAATCCCATTCCTCAGCAGCCGATGACCCAGAACTTCTGCCACACCACATCAGCCACGTTCCACAGAATCCGGAGTCCCACAGTTCATCTTTGCTCAATCGGTGTGTCCAGTCATGCCTTTGCCTGCCGACATTCCGATCTCAATGTCTCGTCGTGTTAACACCTGTGGCCCCCAGATTACTCGGCCCCGAGCCAAAGATACTGCATGCATTATCTTCGGCTTATATCCCAAAATCCCCCCGCAGATGAAGTCAGAGTCGCCAGACTCGTCTGAGAAATTTTTTCAAAAAAGGTCCACAAGTCTTGACCATTTTTATTCACCAAGTTATCATATTATATAAGTTTTTCTATGTTCTGAACATCCATTGGGATGTATTTAGAACACTTCTGAACCACCTTAATACCATCAGGCACTTCTAAGAGATTCATAAAGGCAAAACTGGCTCATCTGATCAAATCTGGCCAGGTCAAGATTCATCTGACTGAGTCTAGATTCATCTGACTCAATCTGGCAGATGACTGAATCCGGCCTTTGAATTTTTTTTTGCGCTGACTCCTCAGATCCATCTGACACCACATTTGTCACAGCAGATGAATCTGTCCAGAGCCACAGATTCATCTGCTGAATGAAATCACACGTTACCACTCACCACCTTACACAACATACCTATGTAACATACACATCTGACAAGTATACATCAACAATCAAATTGGGGGCAATCTCATCTGGCCTCATTTGGGCCGCTGCTTGACACTTACACAAAATTTACTTGCCCAGTCGTCCAGCTAAGTCTCTAAGAGCATCCGCACTCGTGCGGTAAGTCGGGTGCGGTAAGGTTAAATTTACCGCAAACGCGGGGTCTTTTCCACACCGGTGAAAAATTAGCCCCGCGGTAGTTAATTTTCGGTCATTTTGCGTTAGCAAATTGGTAAATTTACCAATTGGCTAACGCATGCGGTATCACACATCACGACTTGTTCCCGGCAACTCGACTCCAAAAACAAAACTCAACCAGACCTCCAACACCAAAGTCAACAACCAATATCTCCTTTTCACCACTCACACACGATGAATTCCAAGCCTTACAGTTGCATGAATCAACTCGAGAACGTTCGACACCGATCGATGTCTTCAATTGAAATAAGTCAATCAACCATCTTGAACTCGACTCCAAACCATTCAGATGAAAATGAAAGATGTCTAGATTCATATAGCTATGTAGAGGTCAATATTTAAGAAAATCAACATTAAGAGACCAATCATTGGAGGACTTTTAGGATCAAGTGATACAAATTAAAAATTGAAGTTTGGATTTTTATTTCCTAGTTTTAAATCTTTAAATCTTTTACAAGATCATTATGTGTATTCAGACTCATTAAAAGCTTTCTCGATGTAGTAAAGCCTTTGTTTTTTAATTGGAATTCATGTATTAAGATCTGAACAAACTCATGTTAAATTTGTAATTTTAAATTAAGATCTATCGGTCGAGTAGATGAACAGGATGATATTGGGTCTTCATGTGTAGATGGAGTATTAGTATCTTAGTGCAAAGAAGAGAACAGTGCCTCTATCACATGAAAACTGGCCATGAAAGCAGGTGATGTGTACTCAAAAAATTAAAACTTTACCTTACTGCACGACCGGTGCGGAGTACATGCACTATCTGTAAAGTTATAAAAGTTACAGCGCTGCTAATGCAAACGAGTGCAAAATTTGGTTGAGTTAAGTAACTTTTTACTTAATGTTGTGTTTGTTACCGCACGTGACCAAATTAACAACCGCAAACGAGTGCGGATGCTCTAATTACAGTAGTCAATTGAGGGGGAATCTCATCTGGACTCATCTGCCCCGCCCATCAACAATCTTCTCACGTGCTCACCTGTCATACATATCATAACTCTCACTTCTCTTACTTTTCTTTCGGTCATTTTCCATGAAATGTACAATATGAATTTTGAATCGGAATTCTGTAATAAATATCACCCTTCAAGATAGGCCTTCAACATATTCTTCCACTGAGCTTCTAAAACTTGGTCTTCAGAAATAGTTGCTTGACAATATTGGCGAGTTTTGTGCAGGAGGGACACTAGGTAAATGTCCCATCTAAAGATCAGACGGGCATGATCGAGAAAAAGTCCATGATGTAAGGAATCCAAAATATCACTGCACTCATCCCAATTGCTCTTGTTCACAATACGAAAACTCTTGCTGCCCTTCACTAACTCTATTGGAAGAGTCGTGGCAGTTGGGTCCCATCCTGAGGATACAATGAAGAAAGAAGTATATTCAAATTCAATGTAACGGCAATGATCAGTATCATACCATTCAAAAGAATAAAGGCTAACCTGACTGTGCAAGCTTGACCACCTTTTCTATTTTGGTATCAGTTGCCAAAGACCACCTGAACATTTGCCTTACTTCATGTGCAATTCTCCTGAGTTCTTCTTCGCACCGGCAATACAACAGATAAGCTTGGATGCCCTTTTGGGTGTCCGCATCCACTGCCCAATTTTCATCTGGATGCGTGAGATGTCCAAAGTTCCAGAAGGCGTCATCCAGTGTCAGAGATTTTGCTTGCTCGAGTGTAAAGTTGATCAGCGGAGTTTCGTCTGGATACGAAAGGTTGTACTTTACAACAAGATCATAAAAGGTCTTCCACTTTTTTCGGAAGAGCGTCTGTTTTGTGGTCATCACAGTTTTCATTCGTTGCTGCATTGTTGTACCTACATCCAAAGTTGAGGACTTTAACTCTCGTTCTGATCACTAGCAGCCATCCTACAAACCAACCTGATTCCCATTTTTTTGCCAATTCAATGATTCCAACCTTTGCCTCATATAAGTTTGACTTTGCCACCCTTACCTGTATCAATGTTAAAGCCCTTGGATCTATTACGTACGTTGAAGGAATGTTAACATACAAATAAAACATATTAAAATAATTTCTCACCATCGGCTTCGGGGATGTGTCTGAAATTGTCACCACCAAGTTCTAACAAGATCCTGTCGACTTCTTCTTCCAGAAATGCGATATGTCCTGGCAAGCTCGCCAGTGTACGATTCTCAGCAGCAGTTCTGTGTTGTCGGCGCCGTAGGTTGTCCATTTTATCACTGAAGATATGCTTGAAAAATTAAAAGCTAAACATGATAAGGACATGGTGAAAGAAGACGCACTTGCACTCTCTCAAATCTTCCTCATGCTCAATCAAATCTTCAACTTGCAGTTGTAGCTGCTTTTTGTTGGTATCGCCCATGAGTTCTGCCTGTATCCGTCTTTGACGAGCCCATTGATTGGCAAAATAGGTGTGAGAATATCCACGTTTCATCTCAAGTTCATGAAGAATCTGTAGTTTTTCTGCTCGTGTTTTCTCTGCTATTCCTAACTTACTATAGGACAAAGCAGCTGAATTGAAACAAAGAGCAGATGTTGGTGTTGTAACTACGAAAGATAATAAACTAATTGCCCACCAGAGTTTGTACGTAACACTTGATTCTCATGTGCAGCTTTGTGATCAAGTGCATCTATTCAATGCAGCTTGGTAGCATAGCGTAGAGCTGCAACCAATTTACAGAGCTTACACCAGCACCTTTCACAGCCTTCTCCATCGGACAAGCCAAATCCAAGATTAAGTCTTGGATTGTAATCCAGCTGGCAACTCCAGCTGTGTACATATGCGTGGAACACGCTTGTACCAAATTTGAAGCGACTTCGACGCATTTCCTCTTCGAAGAGTTTATGCTACAATGAGTTAAAAATATGACATCAGTACGAAGGTTGAAATGATAGAATGGTGATCATGATACTTAACTCTAATAAGCCCTTTTTCAATGTTACATCCAATATCATAGAGGAATGCAATCATAGAATCTTCCTCACCCAACTGCTTGAGGAGCGAATCAATTAGGGCATGTGCAAAATATGATCTACAGGTACATAAGTAAGTTAGCTGGGTGATACAATCATGAGAGCACCTGA